CCCCAGGGCCAGGGCCAAGGCCACTTCCGCAACAGGCACCCAGGGCCAGGCCACAGCAATGGCTTTCTATGGGCTTTCAAAGCTGCCGTTTGCCAGCCCGCAAACGCTCCAAAACTCTCCAAACGCTCCAAAGCCTCCAAAACCCGCCAAACCCTCCAAACACCGTCCCCAGCAGGCACCCCAGATCCACAGCAATGACTTTCTTGAGGCTTTCAAAGCTGCCGTTTGCCAGCGCGCAAAGGCTGCAACCCCCCAAAAATTCCAAACACCTTCCTTAACAGGTGGCCAGGGCCACAGCAACTATCCATCTGTTTATCCAACTGTCTATCTACCTATCTGTCATCTATCTCTCTCTCTCTCTTTCTCTCTCTCCCTCTCTCTCTCTCTCTGTCCCTCTATCTATCCATCTGTCCAACAATCGATCTATCCACCTGTTTATCAAACTGTCTATCTACCTATCTATCAATCTCTCTCTCTCTCTATCCCTCTATCTATCCATCAATCTATCATCTATTCACATGTCTACCTGTCTGTCTGTCTGTCTGTCTGTCTGTCTGTCTGTCTGTCTGTCTGTCTGTCTGTCTGTCTGTCTGTCTGTCTGTCTGTGTATCCATCCATCCATCCATCCGTCCATCCGTCCATCCATCCATCCATCCATCCATCCCCATCCATCCACCCATCCATCCCCATCCATCCATCCATCCATCCATCCATCCATCCATCCATCCATCCATCCATCCATCCATCCATCCATCCATCCATCCATCTCTCCCTCTCCTCTCCTCTCTCTCTCTCTGCTCTCCCTCTCCCTCTCTCTCCCTCTCTCCCTCTCCCTCTCCCTCTCCCTCTCTCTCTCTCCCTCTCCTCTCTCTCTCTCTCTCTCTCCCCCCACAGTCCCCCCCAAATAGAGGGGGGTCGGCGGCACCTGGGCGCTAGCCCATTCTATTACCAAAGGGATCCAAAGGGTAGATGTTATGGTTAACATGTTGGGATCTAAGATGATCTAAGAATTTCCATCGCCTAGCATTGCCTAGCCAGAAATGGGTGAAACTGGGCGGACTGCAACCCATGTGGCCATCTGATCCATCTGGGGAAATTCTGGCTACCCGATTTCGGGGCTACCAGAGTTTCAGATCATCTCGGGTTTTTCTCAAGATATCAAGATCCGGAAAGCGCTAAAAGCCCATAGACTTTTGTGACAGTCATTCCGTAGATTTCCATCGAATAGAAAGTCATGGGGTAACTATCACTATAAAATGGCCATTCGACAATCTACTGGATGTCCATAGACTTTTATATAGAAAGTCATCCCATAGAAAGTCATGGCCATTTTGGGACATCCATTGCTGAACAATACCCTGAAGATCAGCGAATTCTGAGCTTGTCACCACTGATCCTTGACGCTGCAAACGTTTCAGAAGTCGAGTGTGCCTGCCACATAGCCACCGAACTTCCGTTCAGATGAACTTAGCGTTGCACGTTGAGTATCATTTGAGTGCAGCTTCATGAACAAGTTGAAACAAACACACCAACATCAAATATCTGGGTAAATCAATGGTAAGACACCGGCAAATCATCATCATTCACCAACAAAAAGATCCAAACATGGATAATTTACCATAAATTGACCATTGGTTTATCCATGTTTGGATCTTTTATTACCATTGATTTACCATTGATTTCACCGGTAAATTCATGATAAACCATCATCATCCAACCATTTACCATTGATTTACCATTGATTTACCATTGATGGTTGGATAAACATGGTAAATTCATTTCCAACCATCACTGGTAAATCAATGGTAAATCCTTGGGAGAAACTGAGCAAGCTCCACGGGCGAAGATCCTGTGGCGGCACAGCGCTGGCCTGGAGCCTTGCGATGGAGTGGAATTCTGAGATCTATCTACTGGGATATATCTAATCTATCTATGTATCTATCTATCTATTTATCTATCTATCCATCCAATCCAATCCAATCCAATCCAATCCAATTCTTTCTTATCTTATTCTTATTCTTATCTTATCTTATCTTATCTATCTATCTATCTATCTATGTATCCCCCAGTATTAAACATACATAGATAGTATTATACAAGTAATTATAAGTATATAGCTCAAATTTAAGGGACTGGTCAATCCGAATGACCGATGCGATCGAGTTGTTTTTGAAGGGGTCCCTGAAGTGGTTGACGGGCTGGTCATATGCACCCCATTTCATACATGTTCATACATTTTCAATCTAGTCTATAACAATGTATATCAGATAATATCAATCTCATACTATACCTTCAAATATCTTCCAATAACATCCAGCAACCGTGATTTGTCCAAGTTGACAGGCCAGTCCATTGCTGTCCATGTCGCTTCCCCGCCTCTCGAACATGTCCCTGGCACAATGTAGAGCAGCTCGGACCTGACGGATGGCAAACCACCAGGCTGCCAGGTTCCAAATGTTGACGGCATCAAGATCCAGATTCCCCAATGCCTCTCTCCAGCTGAAGACATCCACAGCAGCACCTTTAAAAACGTGTTTTTCCGTGTTTTTCACGTGCCATGATACAGTGATGCAGTGCCAGTGAAGATTTGAGCTCCCAACTTTGGAAGACCCAAAGAACAAACATGCAGGCGTAAACTTTGGCTGGCGTAAGGCCTTGGAAAATTCGGAAATGGAATGAAATGGAATGACATGGCAGTGGGTCAAAACCCTTGTACCCCTGTAGTTCACATCAAAATAGCTGGGATTTATGGATGTTCATCCCAGTAAAAATGTATCTATAGGTATTGACCCATACCCAAATGGAATGAAATGGAATGAAATGGAATGACATGGATGGGGTTTAAAAAACTCGACAGCAGCGAGGCTCAGCGAGGCAGAGTATCCACCAATCCGAGCTCCACACAGTCAGACATGAGCGACAGCCTCGGCATTGATGAATGGAGGACCGTTGAAGTGAGAAGTGACTGTGACTGCGGTACATCGACATGAGATGAAATGATGATGATGATGATGATGATGATGATGATGATGAGCATAAGTCGCAAGCACATTTTCATCTGTTTGCTTCTCAGGAAACGCATTGCATTGAGAAAGAGACGCCTTTCGACAGCTGGACCGGACCGATTCCATGTCCTCCAGGCGTCGATTTCACAGGATCCCATGGTGCTGCGAAAAAATATGGTGTGCCATGGATCCCATACATTTACCATCGATATACCCCCTTTATGTTAGCATATATACCAGAACCATAGGATCCTATGGGTATTACTTCATCAGCGTTTAGCGAAAACGACTGCGATCATCTGCGATCCTTATAATCGAACACCTATAGATAGCTTTGATACTTGTACTTGCCGTGAAGGGTCTTCTACCACTGCATAGAAATACGTTGCAAGCTGTTTGCTGGTCCTTGAGTTGCCAGCAAACCTCTGCCAAACCTGGTTTGTTCAAGAAATGGAGAGAACATTCATCTTTTTTGGCACGTGTTTGGAATATTTTCATATTTATATACTGTTTATACTAACCAGCACCTCCTGACACGTTGATGCCTCGACCTTTTTTGGACCCTCTTTGCTCCGAAATGCTCCTTAAAAAATCCTTAAAATACCTATTCACACTGAATGCTTGCCAAGCAGCATGTGTAGATGCTTTCTGGGCTGCTAGTACAGGATGGCCACCTGCCAGAGATTGGATCGTCCCCAAAAAGGTGGGGGGTTCCAAGCCAGAAATTCCCAGCCTTAGCCAAATCGATTCACATTCTCTCAAACATCTATGGGATGCTCGTAGATGATAGTCTGGCAGTGTCAATCGTCCAGTTTCATCATTTTTCAAAACATCCTTTCCAGCCACACGGATGGCTTCGGCAGCGTGGAACAGACGTTCGAATCTGACCATGGCCCAAGGACCAGCGCCATCGCCAGCCGCTTCCAAGCACCGCGCCAAGGCGCACCAGTGGGCTGCCACCCGCCAGTCCTTGCGCACCCGTTCGGCCAAACGGTTGCAACAGCTGCAGCCAAAGAGAGCCAAGTTTGCCAAATTCTCAGCCTCCCCAGTTGGGAAACTCCCTGGGATAGGTCGGATAGCTTCGGTGTCAGCAGCAGCTGCCAGGAGCTCTTGATCTGAACTGAAGGATTCTTCTTTCACATCCAACAATGCACAAACTTCGGTGATGGCTTCTTCGTACTGCTGCTTTTGCCAGTACCGCCACAGCACGGTGGTAACAACCATGGCATAAGCCTAGCTCCATCAATGTATCTTGCGTGAAAGAGCGGAGTTAAGGACTGCGATACAGTGAAACAAAAACCACCTTATTATAAGGATTGATAAATAATTATATAATTTGATTTTGACTAGAGCGGGTGACCCGGAAGCTCCGTCCGGCATACTTTTTTTAGAGACCTTTCGACCACACAAATTTGGCATCTCTTTGCCTCTGACAATATCTCGACATTCAGATTTGCCTGTTCTCCAATTCTGCCTGTTTAGGCTTTGATGCAGCCAGTTGTCACAGCAAACTCCAACGAGTCAACTCTTTAGATTCCTTGCATCAATCTAATCTGCAAAGCAATTCTCCCACAAATCTGAATTTCATGCCAGCTCGAACGAATAATTGTTCTGGATGTGACTCCTTTTTTAAAACTGAATTGATCACGTCCACGCAAGCTCTTGAGATCAAATGGGTTCTTGTGCCCACGGCTTGTCGTGGCGGTGCCGGATCTACCATGGGCACTTCTCACGTCGAGGGCTCCGCGAGCGAGCTCGAGAGTCCTGCTGAGCTGAGCTTCGCAAAGCAAAACTGTAGGGCAATACATGGCAAAATAGGTTATACACAGTTTATATATAATTATATTTACATATATAATATAATATATATATATATTTAAATATATATATATATATACATACATGATCAAAACTTTGAGATGCTGTCCATCATATCCATCCTGAGACCACTATGTGCAGGAATCATTCTTTCTCGTCTTTGTGACGATCTATCAGCTTCAGGTTCTGCATCAAGATGCAAAATCCCTCGCCCATCTCCTTCTCTCCATCCATGCCCTGCCAAGTCCAGAGGGAAAAAAACCATTGACATGTGGATATTTCCGATATTTCCTGAAATATGGGTAGCTGTACCCCAAACCATTGCTTTCCCCATGCCAAACAAAAAACAATGAACTTGGATGATAATGATTATATATAACTTGGCTTTGCAGATCTTTGCAGATGTATTCAGAATGTGCTCCTCGCAGGCTTCCAAGACAACTTCCAACTCATCCTCTGAGTATTCTTTTCGCCAACCTTTCCTGGTGAAGAAAACGTCATCAGTGCAAGGTATATTTCCCTTGAATGTGTTTCTATGCCCGCATACTACAAAAATATATTTCACATGTGTATGTACGAAAAAACAGTGACACAACTGCATGTAAATGGATGGCTAATTATTGGACATTCTTGCACGGATCAAGGCTGCATCTGCTGACATATTCCCGTTCCTTGGAGGGATGTCGGAATCTGACTCTGCGTAAAAGCATTCGCCGCCTGACCTGAGAATGAATGTTTGCAAAGTCCGAGAAAAACTTGGGGAGAATGAAATCGCCAAAATCATTCAAATGATTTCAGAAGACTGCTGGCTTTCACTGACTTCACATCTTGCAGTACCTGCAATACATTGAAGACCCTTGAAGCGTCTTGAGGCTTCAACGCGTCGCAAACCCACCATGTTGGCTTTCCATCTGCTGCCATTGTGAAGGCAATGCTTGGACGTGAGCCCTCAGTTTTGGGCCTGGGCTGTAGTTCATCGTTCTTTCTGGGATGGACAGGACCGCAAAAAACCGGCACAACTTCAAACAAGTTGCCCCAGGAAGACCGGCTTTCCGTTTTCCATCTGAGCACTCTTGACATATTTGCCAAAGACGTCATAATCCTCAGACTTCGGACCAAACCGCATCCCAACACCCAACAGCATCTGACTATAAATATATATAAATATATATATAAACATATTTAATATAACATATATATATATATACATTACTTATTATATATATATGTATTAAATATATTATATTATATTATATTATATTATATTATATTATATTATATATAATATATAATATATATATAATATATATAATATATAATATATATATATAATATATATATATATATAATATATATAATATAATATATAATATATAATATATATAATGTATATAATATATATAATATATATAATATATAGTATATACAATATATATAATATATATAATATAATATATATAATATATATAATATATAATATATATAATATATATAATATATATAAAGTTTACATAATATAATAAAATATAAATATAATATAATCTGATATAGATATATAATAAAATATATAATATAAATTATACAAAAACAAATATATAATATATGAACTAAAATATATAATATATACTGTTTAAAAAATAATACATAATTTATACTATATAATACATAATATAAATAATATATAATATATCATAAATATTATTTAATATATTATATATAGTTTATATTATATAATATATAAAATATATAATACACATAATATATAGTATATATATATATTATAATGTATATATATATAGTTAATTTATACTATATTACTATCAAATTATATATATACAATATATACACGGATATGTATATGTAGAATTCAATCATATTATAAATACATATACATGTACATATACCGTATTATACCGCATTGTATACTATTTCACGCCCTATATATAGATAGTTGTATGATGTGTATATATATATATAATCATAATATATGTATCATAATATGTATATATATAATCATATAAAATAGTGTCAACCCCGGAGTAATAAACCATGGTTTATTGTGGGGGTAGCCTTCAAATAGTGATGGGGTTTAGCCCAGCTTCCATGGCCAGTTCTTCAGAGCCTTTTAGCTCGAAGGCTTCGCTTCCATGGTAGTCACCGTCAAAGTCCTGCGTCTTTTACACGAGCTTGAGCTCAAAATCCCCTATCAATGGACTTTTTAATGGGAAAACCATTGGAAAATATGAAGCAATTTGGGATAGTCCTCTATCAATGGAAGTTTTTCATGGGAAAGCCATAGGAAAACCATAGGAAAAAATGGTGGCCAAGATGGGGACCTCCCCTGCAAATGAAAGTTATATTGGGAAAATCATCGAACTAGATGGGGATTTTCCATCAAACCAGGTTTGATAACCGAAGAGTTGCTAGGAATAGGACAACGATGAACCTTTGGATTGGTGAAACCTGGATTGGTTCAAGGGACGAACCATTCATGTGGCCACCAAATCTGTGAAATCAATGGGGTTTCCTGCAGAATTTCCCTTCAGAACGGGACAAACATATATGGGTCGGATTTTGGAGCTGTTGAATTTTGCGCGAATGATCGCGAATGTTGCATGTGAAACACTTGACTTGGCCTGGGAACAAATAGCCTTCATGTATGCAGCAAGAGATCTTGCAAGCAAGTGCAAGTTACAGTAGGGAGGGAAATCCGGGAGGTCCAAGCACCCGAGAGTGCGGCTTTCTTTATGCAATCCTGTATTATCAATGCAACATCTGTAGTCAAGATTTTCACCATCTTGAGAGTCGTTGTCTGTGTCCTCATCTCTATCATAGTCATCTCCTTCACCGTCTTCATCTGGAAGAGCTTCTTCCAAGTCTTCCTCCAGAACAAGAATAATGCCACGTAAACGGAAGTGGCAAGCAGACTCGACACGTCAAGAAATCAGCTCCTCTGCTCACCACTTAAAGTGGACGCTGAAAGCAAGTAAGAGGGTTCGGCAATCCTGATATCTTTACTATATCTTTCATGGCATCCTGCTTCTGACATCTCCCGACCTTTAATCCCAACTCCTGGGATATCCAAAGAAAACAACATCAGCCACAGGCCTTTCCCATGGATGCCCTTCTGGCACACAACGGGAGGACGTTGCAAGGACCCCGAGTTCAAACTTCAAACATACGGGAAGCGGCAGCAGCGGCGGCCCAACCCAAGTCCCACAGATTGAGGCAGCGCATCAAACATGTGGTGTCAAATGAAAAGAGTGAAAGACAACAAACATCAGCACATTATTCTGCACCATTCCACCATTGTTGACCTTGACATTTCTTCTAACAGTCTCTACCCTTGCCAATCACATCCCATTTCGCTACTTGGGGGTGCATGTCATGTACTGGGGTATACCCTATATGCAACTAGGTTGTTTTACGGTTATTGACCCCAAGGCCTAACCGGGCCGTGGTCACAACGCTCCCAAGGCCTAACTGCCAAACTGCGACCGCAACGGCCAATTCAATGCACGTAACCGGCCCTTTCACTGAAAGCGTCCGACGTCCTGAAGTTCACTAGAAAAGGCGACTCGTCACGTAGAGGAAAAGGGCGACACATGGCGCCACTGACAATGATAAATCATGAGAAATACATGCCGAAGCAGCGAGACATTTGTATGCGCCGGGTTTCAGGCGATGGGAAGCATGGCGCAGTGCCAAAGTTCCGGACCCACATCGGCCATGTGACGGGAGACATTTGTAGCTGGCGAGGAATCGGAGGTTTTGAAGCGTTTTCAAAGATACCGGGACAATTTTAGCTAGGCAAAATATGGCAACATGATGTTTTAAGATGCCTTTAGAATGAACCGCACCAGCCATGCAAGGACAACTGAGGCATCTCCGATCACAGGTTCTCTCAGTCGATCTCCTTGTTGATGCCTCACTGGGCTGCACCATAAACAAAAAATGCAGGCAACAACTGGTAGATGACAATAGAGAATGCCTTTATATATATATATTATACACATATACTTATATGATCTTATATGAACTTAAGTGATTATATGTAATTGTTATCATTTGTACAGCATACATCATACGCATATATATATATAACACTATAAACAGATATGTAGCATCATGATACATTATGTATCTTCCGTCTAGCATAATATGAACATAATGAACATACCATACCTAAATACTTAACCCAAATCATACACTTCTCTGAAAAGGTCCAGCAATGGGAGATAAAAGAGAGGCAGCAAGGATCGTTGGTTGCTTCGGCACCAGCTGCGGTGCCAAACATCGGTAGCAGACATCTCGTGTCACAATGGTGAAGAAATATCAAGACTTGTCATTGAGAAATGTCAATGGACACATACAGAGTTAAGAGAATGAGAGTTCCAGACCACAGAGCGTTCAGGTTGAGCCCCGCAAGCCGCCAAATTGTTGTCGTGACGTGCGCTTGTTTGGATAGACTCGGATAGACATCATGAATAGCGGAGTATGGACACCATTGAATCGGTACGAGAACAAGCAAGCCGCAGCAAAATCAAAAAACACCTTTGTAGCGACAAAACCATGAGAATCCATGCTTCTTGGGGTCGTGGGGATTCCAAAGACTTTTCTGTCAAATAATCGCCCAAACCACACAAATGCCCTGGAACCACGCACTGCCATGCCATAGTCCGCACATGTCCACACCTTGAGGTGAGCGGCGTCGAAAACCGGGTAGCGATTTGGTTCTAATCCTTATAAGCTTTCGCGACGGCTTTCGCGGTTCTTTCGCGCGCACAGTTCTGGCTCTCGCGGCGACGTATTTCGTGATATCTTTCGCGGTTGCTTTCGCGGAAAATTGCCCGTAAATGATGGTGCACATGTATATTTAAATGTGCTTCTACTATCTACCTGCTTTCGCCACTGCTTTCGCGGCTCGACCTTGACGCACTCCTTTCGCGGAGCTTTCGCGCGGCTTTCGCGCGTGAAGGTTTGGCTTTCGCGGGGGGTTCCCCACATGAACCCGAATACTAAATCCCTTCATGGAGGTTTTTGATGCTGCTCAGGTGAGGATGCCTGTAACATATTGCAAAGCCGCCGCATAACACTGCGATGGTCAGTCTAAAACACATAGGTTTCAGTTTCAATCGCTGTTCTTGAATCCCAACCATGATATTTCAATGAGTGGCTCTCTAGCTGGAACATGCTGGAATTGATGTTATAGCATGCTTGTGCAAATGCCAATGCGAAAAACATGAGAAAACTGTGTCCCCTCAGACCTTACCCTAAGATACCCTAAGAAACACTTGGAGTGAAACCATGTGCTTAAACCAGACGGTCTCCATGTGACATGCGGCAAACCATTCCGAAATCCTTGAACTGCTGGAAGAAGGTCTTGTTATTGTCATTGACCGAGATAAAGTTCCACAAGCACTATCATGTCATCTCTGAAGAATGCATGGGCAGCAGATCCCGGCAAGGTGTCTTGCCATGGTCGAAGAATGACAAACATCTTGGAACTGTCAAGAAAGGGGGCCAGAATTGGTTTTGTACACTGAGAAAGCCATGTGCAGCAATTTCGCAGAAGAACTTCCATGCGCAGCAACATGAACTAGATGAGCAATCAGAGAGAAAGGACAATGTTTCGACATGTTTGAATCATGTTTGGAACATTTTTGAACACCAAAAATGATGCCCAAACATGATCAATCATGATCAGACATGAAGGGTAACCCAAAGGCTGTGTCTGTATGCATCCTGTCCGTTGAACTGAGGAAACTGGAAGTATGTGACTTTGGGCGTTTCAGGTTTCGAATTCATCTCAACCCCCAAGAAGTACTGTGATGTTGAAGAGGTCCACTTGGAACAATTCCATGCATGGACAGCATTTCCGTTGGGTGGAACTCAACTGATGTCGATAATGTTCAGGGGTAAGAGAACCAGGAAGAAACCAACGCTGTTGAAAACCCTGGTGTCGGGCCAGTTGCTGGCTGAACAGTGGTGGCCGGAGCCAGACAGTCTCCTAATGGTTTCCCGGAAACCCAAATCTGAAACCTCGGAAAACTCGACGGTGCCCTGTGACATGCGGCAAACCATTCCGAAATCCTTGAACTGCTGGAAGAAGGTCTTGTTATTGTCATTGACCGAGATAAAGTTCCACAAGCACTATCATGTCATCTCTGAAGAATGCATGGGCAGCAGATCCCGGCAAGGTGTCTTGCCATGGTCGAAGAATGACAAACATCTTGGAACTGTCAAGAAAGGGGGCCAGAATTGGTTTTGTACACTGAGAAAGCCATGTGCAGCAATTTCGCAGAAGAACTTCCAGGCGCAGCAACATGAACTAGATGAGCAATCAGAGAGAAAGGACAATGTTTCGACATGTTTGAATCATGTTTGGAACATTTTTGAACACCAAAAATGATGCCCAAACATGATCAATCATGATCAGACATGAAGGGTAACCCAAAGGCTGTGTCTGTATGCATCCTGTCCGTTGAACTGAGGAAACTGGAAGTATGTGACTTTGGGCGTTTCAGGTTTCGAATTCATCTGAACCCCCCAGAAGTACTGTGATGTTGAAGAGGTCCACTTGGAACAATTCCATGCCTGGACAGCATTTCCGTTGGGTGGAACTCAACTGATGTCGATAATGTTCAGGAGTAAGAGAACCAGGAAGAAACCAACGCTGTTGAAAACCCTGGTGTCGGGCCAGTTGCTGGCTGAACAGTGGTGGCCGGAGCCAGACAGTCTCCTAATGGTTTCCCGGAAACCCAAATCTGAAACCTCGGAAAACTCGACGGTGCCCTATGACATGCGGCAAACCATTCCGAAATCCTTGAACTGCTGGAAGAAGGTCTTGTTATTGTCATTGACCGAGATAAAGTTCCACAAGCACTATCATGTCATCTCTGAAGAATGCATGGGCAGCAGATCCCGGCAAGGTGTCTTGCCATGGTCGAAGAACGACAAACATCTTGGAACTGTCAAGAAAGGGGGCCAGAATTGGTTTTGTACACTGAGAAAGCCATGTGCAGCAATTTCGCGGAAGAACTTCCAGGCGCAGCAACATGAACTAGATGAGCAATCAGAGAGAAAGGACAATGTTTCGACATGTTTGAATCATGTTTGGAACATTTTTGAACACCAAAAATGATGCCCAAACATGATCAATCATGATCAGACATGAAGGGTAACCCAAAGGCTGTGTCTGTATGCATCCTGTCCGTTGAACTGAGGAAACTGGAAGTATGTGACTTTGGGCGTTTCAGGTTTCGAATTCATCTCAACCCCCAAGAAGTACTGTGATGTTGAAGAGGTCCACTTGGAACAATTCCATGCCTGGACAGCATTTCCGTTGGGTGGAACTCAACTGATGTCGATAATGTTCAGGGGTAAGAGAACCAGGAAGAAACCAACGCTGTTGAAAACCCTGGTGTCGGGCCAGTTGCTGGCTGAACAGTGGTGGCCGGAGCCAGACAGTCTCCTAATGGTTTCCCGGAAACCCAAATCTGAAACCTCGGAAAACTCGACGGTGCCCTGTGACATGCGGCAAACCATTCCGAAATCCTTGAACTGCTGGAAGAAGGTCTTGTTATTGTCATTGACCGAGATAAAGTTCCACAAGCACTATCATGTCATCTCTGAAGAATGCATGGGCAGCAGATCCCGGCAAGGTGTCTTGCCATGGTCGAAGAATGACAAACATCTTGGAACTGTCAAGAACGGGGGCCAGAATTGGTTTTGTACACTGAGAAAGCCATTTGCAGCAATTTCGCGGAAGAACTTCCAGGCGCAGCAACATGAACTAGATGAGCAATCAGAGAGAAAGGACAATGTTTCGACATGTTTGAATCATGTTTGGAACATTTTTGAACACCAAAAATGATGCCCAAACGTGATCAATCATGATCAGACATGAAGGGTAACCCAAAGGCTGTGCCTGTATGCATCCTGTCCGTTGAACTGAGGAAACTGGAAGTATGTGACTTTGGGCGTTTCAGGTTTCGAATTCATCTGAACCCCCCAGAAGTACTGTGATGTTGAAGAGGTCCACTTGGAACAATTCCATGCATGGACAGCATTTCCGTTGGGTGGAACTCAACTGATGTCGATAATGTTCAGGAGTAAGAGAACCAGGAAGAAACCAACGCTGTTGAAAACCCTGGTGTCGGGCCAGTTGCTGGCTGAACAGTGGTGGCCGGAGCCAGACAGTCTCCTAATGGTTTCCCGGAAACCCAAATCTGAAACCTCGGAAAACTCGACGGTGCCCTATGACATGCGGCAAACCATTCCGAAATCCTTGAACTGCTGGAAGAAGGTCTTGTTATTGTCATTGACCGAGATAAAGTTCCACAAGCACTATCATGTCATCTCTGAAGAATGCATGGGCAGCAGATCCCGGCAAGGTGTCTTGCCATGGTCGAAGAATGACAAACATCTTGGAACTGTCAAGAAAGGGGTGGTTTTGTACACTGAGAAAGCCATTTGCAGCAATTTCGCGGAAGAACTTCCAGGCGCAGCAACATGAACTAGATGAGCAATCAGAGAGAAAGGACAATGTTTCGACATGTTTGAATCATGTTTGGAACATTTTTGAACACCAAAAATGATGCCCAAACATGATCAATCATGATCAGACATGAAGGGTAACCCAAAGGCTGTGCCTGTATGCATCCTGTCCGTTGAACTGAGGAAACTGGAAGTATGTGACTTTGGGCGTTTCAGGTTTCGAATTCATCTGAACCCCCCAGAAGTACTGTGATGTTGAAGAGGTCCACTTGGAAAAGAACCAGGAAGAAACCAACGCTGTTGAAAACCTTGGTGTCGGGCCAGCTGCTCTGGCTGAACACTGGTGGCCGGAGCCAAATCTGAAACCTCGGAAAACTCAACGGTCCCCATTGTGACATTCGGCAAACCATTTCGAACTTATCCGGAATCCTTGAAGTGCAGGAAGAAAGTCTCGTCGGTGTCATTGACCCAAATAGATCGAGAGAAGGACATTGATTCATGACCGAAACCTTGTGCCACGAGAACATCGTAGACCATCTCTGTATCTGAACAGGGAATACAGTAATTGCTGAAGAGGTTCCGGGATGACATGGTCCAAAGATGTCCAAAGAACATGTGCTCATCTTTCGACAGGGAAGGATCCCAATCCCCACCTTTCGACCGACCATGATCAAACCATGTAGATATGCCCTGGAATCCAGGGATCTAGCCGTACTCCGGAGAGTTGTGATTTCTTCCGGCAGACCTTTCGGCCCGCGGTTATAGATGGCCGGAGCCCTACGTGAAGTCATGGAGCGTAACGATGTCACCAACCTGGAAGAGAATCTGGTGTCGAGCCAATTGCTGGCTGAACATTGGTGGCCAGGGCCAGGCATTCGATATCATGCGATGGTAATTGAAACAGAAGCGAACACAACTTACACATCTTTACACTTCGAAAGAGCGACACGACTGCGGTCCTTCGTCCGTTCCACCCATCCCAAGTTACGAGTGCAGGATGCGAACGTCTCGTTGGTGTCATTGATGACAATGAAAGACTCATGAGACGAGTTCTGAAAAGTGGATGTGATGGGCGGAGCATTGTCATTGGAAAAAGTATGAAAAAAGGTGGACAGATTCATACTTTTCAACATCAACCATCATACTTTTCCAATAGAAACCCAACCATCATTTCAACATGTTCACCATGATTTTCTATGATTTTCTTGGGTGACTCAGGGTTTCCTGGAGCGCCGTCTTTTTAAGCAACGGATACCAATCTGACAACAGATTCCAATTGCCAACATTTTTAAGCTGATTAAATTCTGAAATAGTACCCTATAGTACACTAATAGTACATATATTATATTATATTATATATTATATTATATTATTTTAATTTATTTTATATTATATTATAATATATTATATTATATTATATTATAATATATTATATTATATTAAATTATATTATATTATATTAAATTATATTATATTAAATTATATTATATCATATTATTATATTATATTATATTATATCATATTATATTATTATATTACCTTGTGTGTGCAGCTCCGTGGACGCGTTAGGGCATTTCAGACATTCAAACAATTCGAAGAATATTTGAAATTCAGAACATGGAAATGCAATGAAATGCAATTCCCAAACCCAGATCATACATGATCATACATGATTGGATCAAAGTTTGTAATAAAAAGTCTGATCAATTGAGCCAATTGAGCCCATAAACCCATGCCATCCATTGCCATCCCATGTTGTGTTTTAGCCTTGCACGGAACTAACGCCAACGACTCGAAGGCCGGAACCAAAGAATGCACGGGAGAAACAAACCCTTGAAGGCCTCAGTGGTGTTCATGGTATTTCATGGTATTTGAAGGTATTTCATGAAGTTTCATGGTGTTGTTTCAGTGTTTCATGGTGTTTCCTTAATTCCCCCATGGCCATTCTCACCAGCACCGGCAAAAAACCAGCAAGGCTTGATGCCGTTGGGTTCCACCTTGGAGTCACAAGACCAACACCACCAGAAACCGTGGCCGAGGGGCAAAGGCTTTCGTTACGTTGCCTCTGTTCAGACCCATGTTCAGACTCATGAATTGATCAGATCCTTTCGATGCGTTTGGTGAAAAAGGCTTCAACAATGCAAACTGCAACACACACACAAACACCCCCCCAATTCTGCAACGCAGTCCCGGAAGAGCATCGCACAGTACGAATTGTCGCTCCGTGGATTGTAGGAGTCAACAGAAGGGGCACCACAGGAGCACCAGAGAAGGCAGCCGCTGGCCAACTAAAGCACTGGCGAAAGCACTGGCAGGAAGTGCAACATCATGCATCATCAATAATGGGCTACTCAACAAGTTCAACACAGGAAATCATGGAAGTATGCTATCAAACAAAACTTGGGCGTGAATCTTGCCCCACCTCTGTGACCCACCTCCAGCTTCCATTCTGCGTTTCGCATCAACGCAGGATTCGCCGTGCTTGTTCTGTCCTCGCCTGGGTGCCTAACGCCGAGAAACGGGTGGCATTGCGCCGGAACATAGCTGCGATGGCCGGAGCCATGCCATATTCTGGGCCAAGAATTGGGGGAGAAAACATGAGAAAAACGGCTTCGAAAGACCTGTGGTTTTGCGTTGCCAAGAGAACCAATAGAACCACTGTAGATCTCGAAGAAAAGCAACTCAGAGCTGGACGCTTTGTCGCTCCAGGCCGCGAAATTGAGGTCTGGAAGGGAACAAACGAAATCCACCAGGATTGCCATGCGGCATCAATGCAGCTGTATAGGAAATGAGATGAAATGAGTTGAATAAGGTTGAATAAAATGAAACAACCATGCAGCACAAGCACCCCAGCAACCCACATCAAAGAGTAGGCCCATTTCGATGAGCGACGGTGAATTAATGGTTGCTTCAAGGAGCAGAGATCACATCAAAAACACACAACCTCATCGAACAGCAACATTGCATAGAAATTGACATATATATTAAGATGCATAAACAACATCCTGAAGTACCAATTGGCACATGCGGTGGGACGTCCACAGCATCCCCAAAAAAACACCGGTCACAGATACCCAAGGACGGCGAGCTGTGAAACCATGCCATTGCCGTTTCCGTGATGAAACATGAAAGATAGAAAAGCATAGAAAAGCCAGCAGTGCTCCTGAGGGATCTGAGGGCAATTGGGGGCAACATCTTGTCTTTGCAATGCCGAGACGTCATCTCAATTTGCAGCGATGGGTCGAAATCAAACTTTCACCATACAGCTTTTTTCTGGGATGAACAACCACATTGCATGCAAATACATTCAGATACATCATAGATAATCATAGATACATCCACAACCACCAGTAGCTAACCAGCAACTAAGAGTAAGTGACACTATATTTTAGTATACAACTATCAGAATAAATGAGAACAACCAAGAATAACTTAAGAACAACTAGGAGAAACCAAAGAAGTAAGAGTAACTAAGAGTGACCAAGAATAACTAAGAATAACTGGTGGGGTCACCGGCAGAACCCGAGGTACGCCAGTGTCAGCCCACATTTAACGACGGCCTGAGCCGTGCCGAACCCGACCCATTTCGCCTGGCCCAAACGATGCTTAATATTGCTTAATGATTTAGAAGTTAGAATTTTGAAAAAACACATTAAGAAAAAATAAAAATCATTCAACATCTATCCTAATTAGAATCATGATATAGAATATAGAATGATATACTATCAGTGCATGCATAGAGAGATATACTTTCGTATTGTATATCATGCATCTATAACTGCACATCACTCATTCTTAAAATTTCTTAAGTATATCCATTCTGTTTTCACAGTCGTATAATTGAATCTCTGACATTCTACAGCTGTAATCCATTGTAATCCATTGGACGCCCCCTGTGTGCTCGTCTACTCCTTTGACTTGAGTGGCCATGTGAACATTCATGTTGAATGTCTAAATAATGTTAACAACTCAAATGTCTAAATGAGTCAAAATGCACAAGTTGCAGTTCCCATGAAGCTAACCCAGATTGTGTTTTCTTTGAAATGTTGCACAAGTTGCAGCAGGAAGTCTTTGTTTACATTCAAAACAATGCAGCGTGTTCAAGGTTGTCCATCAAAATTCTGCATAGTGTACCACGCCCCAATTTGAGCATATTTCAGGTCCGCTTCATGACCAGGGAAAGGCCAACACCATCTCCTGTTTGACCACCTATACGGAATGTTCCTCTTGAAAAAAAAGAATCATGTTGATCATGAAGAGGTCGTTGAAGAGCCGTCGCTAAAATAGTTAAAGCAGAGCATGTTAAAGCGGCATGAGATTGTGATTGGAACCTCAAGATACTGGCCATGTAGTACTTTCGCCGCCGAACGCAGGGCAAAGTGTAGATGTAATTTGCAACTCTGGTGATACTGCGAATCGCAATAGGACCCAATAGGATCCTACTACTGGAGGGGTGGCCATTGAAATTGCTAAAGAAGCCCATCCAATGATTCATTTTTGCCCACCTTGCCACCTTGGAAACCAAGGCCCTGCCGTAGAAAGGATTTAACAGAAACTGGCAATGAGGCTTGGGGAACATTTTGGAATGAAAAACAGAAAAGAAGTGGACATAAGTGGACTATCATCCCATTTCTTCCAAGTTTCCTTTGTGCACATGTTCTACAAATTCAATGCCCCCATGCCCCTTGCTTTGCCAAACTCTAGCCGCAACAATTCCAAGAAGATTCGCTTAGAATCGTGCAACAAACACTAAAACCATCTAAACATCTAAACACCGCGAAACATGTATGTGGTGTGGCCTCTTGAAAAGGAATGTAAACCTGTGTTCAATATTGTTCAATGCTATGTGCGCTGAGCTTGCGTTGAAATAAACAAAGGCAGAGTCAAATTCAACCGCGAATGTTTTCCTACTAATGACACTTATGTGCCAAGATTTCAGAAACCTTGGTGCATGTCTACATCAGTACAATACAGCATAATGACATTTATCCACAAGAATTCATAAGAATAGATACAACATATTATAACATACTCTATGTAGACATATGTAGACTTAAGCGAACCTAACTAATGATTGTTAGTTTTCTGCCCAGATTGGATACATCCAGTCACATCAAATAGATGGACAAGTAAAACCATTTCATCAAAAACACTACCTGATGATGTTTGATGTTGCATCACTGATTTTTGGATTGTCCCTCTTGAACTCGTCCGAGATGTAAACCATTCGTCAAAGATCCCTCGACAATGTAGTCCCCGCATGTCCACGCCACTTGCTTCTCACGAGCTACAACTGGCCACAACCAGTATCCAGGGGATCCAAAAGTACGAACAAGTGCCTGCCCCTAGCACGACATAGCATGACTACATACGTTTCTCGTTCTACCGATTGCGAAACAAGTGCTGATTCCAAAGATTCCCAAGTCTAGTTTGAACTCTCTTGTGAGCGTCAGGGGAACAGTGTTCATTTTGCAAAGACTTTACCTAATCATTCTCGAGATTTGCCATTGGAACTTGTAGCTGTCCTGTTCCTTTTGGATTTTTCCGTAGTTGACTTCTTCCCTTACGACAAATGCCTACACATGTAGTCCAATTTCAAAGCCCTCCATGGGAAGAAAAAAGGTTGCACAAGAAGTAATAGCTGTTGATCACCTCGAACAATTGTAACTCTATTGAAGTGTT